TACATGGATGAATATTAGTGAGACATTCTTCATTTTTTGGTATTAACTCTTTAAATCTGGTGTGTATTTTTACATATAGAGCACATCCCAATTTTGACTAGCCACATTTCAAGGGCTCCAATTTGCCCCAGGTGGTTAATGGCTACCATATTTACAGCATTTTGTAAGAATGATTACAGAAGACTGGGTCCCCAAGCCTCATACAACACAACCACACTATAAAACGGCTTTCCTAACCACAGCTGAATTCTCTGGGAGGACTGAGGCTGCTCCAACACCAAGCCCTGATTCCTAGGCCCCAGCAGGCTGCACAAGGTCAACGGTGAACCCACACCTGGCCAAAAACAAAACCAATAACCAAAAAGAAACTGAACAGGTCTTTGCTTCTTGTTTGACTTTTTTATTGTTGTTTTAAATAAGTAGGAATGAGCAAAAAAGTGGCCAAAGCTTCTAAGAGATGTAGGAGTCACAGCATGCTGGCCACCATACTTCATCCCCATGTGAGAGGAAGCTGGGTGTCAGTGGGCATCATAGAAATAAAGGGGCAGAGTTAAGTAGAGACATGCAACAGAGAGAGTGGTCTGCGCTTGGTCCAGCCTTAAACCCTTGTCCCCACAGTGACGTGGAAACCTTAGGCCCTCCAGATCCACAGGTTCATATCCTCAGATACAGCCAACCTCCGATCAAAAATATTTTTAGTCTGGGGATAAAGCTCAGTTGGTAGAGGGCTTGCCTCGCATGCATAAGACCCTGGGTTCAATCCGCAGCACCACAAACACACAAAAAAATCTTAAAAAAAAATATGCATCTATACTGAACATGCACAGACATTTCCTTGTCATTATTCTCTAAACAGTATAGTATAACATCCATTTTCATAACATTTATATTGTATTAGGTATTATAAATAATCTAGAGATGAGTTAGACTTTATAGGAGAATATAAATAGGTTATATGCAAATTCTACACCATTACATACTAGGGCACTTGATTATTCATGGATCTTGTTGTCTGTGGGGAGTTCTGGAACAAATCCCCTAGGAGTAGCAAGGATGACTAGATTTCTCTCAGCTGGAGCAAGCTCAAGCCACTGTTTCATAGTATGCAACCCAGTGATCCCTGGTACATAGACCTGGGTCTTCTAAATGGCCAGGATGGGGTGAATCAGAGTACTGTTGAATCAGAGTACTCCAGGTGCTTGAGTATAGTGAGAATGATATACACCACCATTCCCCATCCTGCTGATCTCGTTGTCCATGCTTTGTTCTGCCACTGCTCCCACAGCTCAGCCAGTATTGAAGTTGAGTATTTTTGGTGGACTTCTTTCACTTTTCCTATTTTGATCCGTTAAAACCATATGTATCCATTTACTGTAAAGCAAATGGAATAAGTATGATGTCCACCATGGAGTCCAGGCAGTGGTACGTGAGTGTTTGCTGTATGATTCCACATCTCTATCTGCTTGTAAGTTTTTGCAGTAAACTTTTAGGGAAAGGAAATCTACTTATTTTCTGATCTCATCATTTCCTCGTTTTCTCTTCTCCGGATTTTTAGTTTTCGTCATCTACCCACCAATGTAAGGGGAAAGGAGATTGTCAGAGCAAAACGGGATAAAGGAGTAGGCATGGTCTAATTCCTTATGCTACTCCTTCCCTCAAGCCCTGTCATTCTCTAGAATCAGAACATGAGATCCCAGGAATATGGAGAATAGAAATCCTCTAACATGAACTGTGCTTTCCTCTGACATTTTCCCTGTGGAACAAGTTTCCAAAACACGAACCTCCTGATGTCAGAAGTGGCCAACATCTCGCTATCCTGATGAAACACTCCTGCATATCAGGACTTATTTTTTTTTCATGCTTCTTATAAAAAATATTTCAATATATTCCAGAAGTAGTTCTAATGATCTATTATTGATAGAATATATGCATTCATGTAAAAATCTAAAATGTGATATTAGGTGAAAGATAATAAAAACAAAATAAATGGAAATGAAGTTGAGTCTGTGATAATAGAATAATAAAATTATGTTACAAACACTTTAAGTAAATTTACTCCTCATGGCAACTAAGGTATTACCTTCCTCTCAAAGTCAAGAAAGCAGGAGCTTAGGATGGTTCCATGGTTTCTCTGAGATCTCACAGCTGGAATGTGGGAGAACCAAGTTTCCACATCAGGCTGCTCTGACCAACACCAAACTCCTCTATTCCACCAAGCTTCTGCTCCCAGAAGAACAGGGGGACATGGGTATTCATCAAATACTCTGAGCCCACCAGGTAGCTAGTAACTTTTCTTTTTTTTTTAATGTTATTTATTTATTTAGTTAATTAGTTTTAGGTGGACACTATATCTGTATTTTTCATTTTTATTGGTGCTAAAGATTGAACCCAGTGCTTCATGAATGGTGGGCTCTACCACTGAGCCACAACCCCAGGCCCAGCCACTAGGTGTTCTTAGCACTAGGGTCAGAGAGCTGCAAACAAAAAATTAGCAGATAATTCCTGCCATCCTGGGGTTCAGTCAGAGGGAGACAAACATTAAATAAGCAAATGTGTGCAACGGTATAAGAGCCAAGAGGGAAAATAAGGCAGGATAAGGAGGGTGGATGGAAGCTAAGGGGCACTTTGAATACAGTGGTCAGGGACGACACCTCTGATAATGCACCTTCCTGGTAGAGGCAATCATCAACACAAACATGCTGCTGCAAGAGTGTGGTGGCATGTCCAAGGGACAGTTGTCATAGTCACTAGGAAATTGTGGTCAAAGCTATCGAAGAAAATGTCAGTGTTTGAGAAGAAATAGGGTCAGGTCTTTGGGGGCACATCAGTGACCATGGCAAGGTCATGGCAAGGTGAATGGAGAGAGACTTAGAGAGTTTTAAGCAGAGAAGTGACAGGTCATGACATGACTTTTGTGCTAAAAGGACCACTCTGACTTCTGCTGAGAACAGAAGATAGAGCATAGAGAGGAAAGCAGAGTTTAGGGAAGCCAGGACAAGAAAAGGTAGATGGATGGCAGGTCACAGTTGGTGTAAAGAGGTTGCAGCTGACATATATTTTTAAGGCAGAAGTAATGGCATTTCATTGATGCATCTTGGGACACTAGAGAAGATCATGTGTGTGAGCAATCAAAAGGATGGTGTTGCTATTAACTCAAAAGGGAAGATTTGAAGGAGATTTGAGGGATGGGGGAGATGGAGTAAAAGGAATCAAGATTCAATTTTGAGCCCAGCATGGTGGCATATGCCTATAATCCCAGTGGCTCCAGAGGCTGAGACAGCAGGATCATGAGTTCAAAGCCAGCCTCAGCAAAAGTGAGGTACTAAGCAACTCGGTGAGACCCTGTCACTAAATAAAATACAAAATAGGACTGGAGATGTGGCTCAGTGGTCGAGTGCCCCTGAGTTCAATCCCTGGTAACCCCCCCTCAAAAAAAAAAAAGATGTAATTTTGGACATGTTATCCCAAAGGCAACATTTAGATTTCCAAGAGGCAACATCACAGAGGCTATAGTAGGGGTCCTGGCTGGAGATGGAAATTTGGATGTCATCCACATACAGTGTTAAAAGCCATAATAACAGACACTGTCACCTAGAAAAATAGTTCTCCATAGGGATAATGCAGTCCTGGGAATATGTTGGAAATGTGAGGTGCATTTTTGCATGTCACCATGATGGACATGCTACTGATAATGGGTGACAGGATGGGAAATCTAGATGTCCTACAATGCATGTGACAAGTTGGCAAAATTTATTTCCCTACCACCCATGCAATTTTCACAGATTCTGTGACATCCACATAGGTGGAACACCTTTTTCTTATCAATCAGTCCTAACACCTACCTTCATTTTATACATTTATACAGCATTTATACAGCAAGGTACTTGTTGCACAATCCTTAAGACATGCTGAGCTTTCTTTTTTTTTTTTTTCCTTTTTGTAGCACTTGGGGTTGAACCTAGGGGTGCTCTGCCACTGAGTTACATTCCCAGCCCTTGTTACTTATTTTTAGGTTGAGACAGGGTCTCACTAAGTTGCTGAGGCTGGTCTTGAACTTGAGATCCTCCCACCTCAGCCTCTGAGTCATTGGGATTACAGGAGTGTGCCACCACACCCAGTGATACAATGAACTTTCTAAGAATACAATCATCATAATAAAACAAAAGAAGACCGTACTATGTTTGGCTCAGAATTTCACCAAGAGCATTCACTGTTTCAAAACAATCATCTGTCATTGTCACAAGCCTGAGTCAGACTACATCATCACTTTCACATTCGTGAGCTCTCAGGAGCAGCTTGGGTCCTTTGCACAGTCATGCTCAGGCATTTGCAGATGGAAGTACAAGTCATTTAATACTTTTCCTTTTATACTAGAGTCTGGATACTATATTGATTTTGCAAACGTCTGCTTGCAGGTAGGTGAAACTGTCTATGAATTTCATCTCAGAACACCCAAGGAGGTGTCAGGTGTGGCATGTGGAGAATCTCTGATATAGAGAATGAATGTAGCTGAAAAATAGGTGAGTGCAAAGTCTATACCTTGGACCCATCTAATATTAGAGATGAATGGAGATGAAGAGGAAGCAGAAAAATTAGAGAAAAATATATCACTGGAGGGAGGACATAGTAAACAGTGTTGATAGGCCAAGAGATAGAGAGATAAAGAGACAAGAGAGGAGGATAGAGAATGACTGGATTGTCAGGGTTGGGAAGATTATGAGTGATCTTGAACCTCATCCAGGGACATGATGGGGCAAAATTGCCTAGAGTCCACATAATTCAAGGCAGAAGACCCTAATTTTTGTGTTAAACATCTCCTAGATTTCCTTTCTCATCCCCATACCACCCTTGCTCTGCGGTGCTCCGTACTCTGGGGCTCTTCCTTACAAGCCTATTTCCTGGTCCTGAAAGCCCACTGGTTTGCCAACTGCCCTCTTCAGTCCTCCCAACCTGGACATCAAGAATCACCACAGCCCCGACCTGGGCATCTTAGTCTATACCTTGCTGAGACGGGACTCAAAAGCCAAGGAGGTTGAAGATTTAGAACTCCTCATGCCAGAAGAAGCTGTAGGAAGGGGCCGTGCACGTTCGGGGCCATGGCTCCCCGCTTTGACGACAGGATTCCAGGGCTTGGCTGCGCTCCTCATGTTTGTCCTAGGGCAGGGGATTGTCTTTCTGTAGAAGAGCAGAAAAGGAAAACATGTATCTCCATAACTTAAACCTGCCAAGTGACATGGTCAAGCTTTACCCATCTCAACTGCTGTCACAGAGAATGAGTGCTTGAAAGTTGGCCAGAATCAGAAAACTCTATTCCTAAGATGACACCTTTGTATTAGGATAATTTTTACAACTCTAAAACAGACTTTACCAAATTATTGAAATGTGTAATATTTAATGATACTCTGACATTACTTTTTGGCAAATTAATAGCTTATTATCCATCAGAGACACCTAACACAGTAATGTACCAGGTATACACACACACACACATACACACACAACAGGGCAGCATGAATCAAACCAGGAAACAGCCAGCAGATTTGCAGCTGTAGGGCTGGAAGAGGAATAACCAACCTAATTTTTAAATAGACATAAATGAATTACTTGAAAGTTAGATTTCATGGAAGCACATGGATAAAAATGGCTATCATTTAAAAATTAATAAAGCATATTTTAATTGGTCAGATCTGACATTACGAGGCAGAGTTGCTGCTCTGAATTTTTTTTAAAAATTTTTTAAATTCTTTTTTAATTTTTTTTATTATTAGTTGTTCAAAATATTACAAAGCTCTTGACATATCATATTTCATACATTTGATTCAAGCAGATTATGAACTCCCATTTTTACCCCGTATACATATTGCAGAATCACATCGGTTACACATCCACTTTTCTTACATACTGCCATACTAGTGTATGTTGTATTCTGCTGCCTTTCCCATCCTCTACTATCCCCCCTCCTGACTGAATTATTTTATGAAATAAAAATTGTTCAGGGGCTGGAGTTGTGGCTCAGTAGTAAGAGCACTTGCCTAGCATGTGTGAGGCCCTGGGCTCGATTCTCAGCACCATGTATAAATAAATGAATCAAATAAAGGTCCATCAACATCTAAAAAAATATTTTAAAAGATTGTTCAAAGTAGAAGGATGCAGCTAAAGTTCTTGGGGGACATCCACATGCAGAGAGACTGGGAGGTGGCCTGGGTCTCTCCACTGGCAATCATTTTAAAAAATCATCCTAGTCTGTTATTCCTGAACCAGAAGTAGCTGGCACACCCCTTTCCCTGATCCTCTGTTTCTTCTGTCAGCAATGTAACAGGACTGGATTAAATGCCCTTGAGGATCTTCTTTAGCCCCAACCTTACCTTTCCCCATCCCTGTAGACTCTGATGGCCAAGAGTGTGACACAGGGCACCCAAACCAAAGTGCTGCATCCTTTGAAAAAACATCACAAATGCACTTTAGGGCTGGGGTTGTGGCTCAGTGGTAGAGCCTTTGCCTAGCATGTATGAGGCACTGGGTTCGATTCTCAGCACCACATACAAATAAATGAATAAAATAAAGGTCCATCAATGTCTAAAAACAACAACAAAAAATGCACTCTAAAAAACACTCACATATGGGGCTGGGGTTGTGGCTCAGCTGTAGAGCGCTTGCCTAGCCCGTGTGAGGCCCTGGGTTCGATTCTCAGCACCGCATATGAATGGATAAATAAAATAAAGGTATTGTTTCCAACTACAATTAAAAAATAAATATTTAAAAAATATATTTACATAGAGCTGGGAGCTGGGCACTGTGGTACATGCCTACTATAATCTCAGCAGCTCAAGAGGCTGAGGCAGGAGATCACAAGTTCAAAGCTAGCCTCAAAAACTTATCAAGGATCTAAACAACTCAGCATGACCCTGTCACTAAATAAAGTATTAAAAAGGGCTGGGAATGTGGCTCGGTAGTTAAGGGCCCTTGTTCCAAGGGGAAAAAAAGAAAAAAAATACTCATAGGCTGGGGATAGAGCTCAGTGGTAGAGCACTTGTCTCGCTGGGCAAGGCCACCTTATGTTCCTGTCTCCTTTCTTGGCTGGAAGAGAACATTTCAACTGACAATACCTCTCTCCTCCAGAGTCATTATTTCTTCCTATTTAAACAAAGGGATTAGCTGGGGACATGGGTCCAATTGTCAGCCTGTGAATGCCACCACTGGTGAAAATGTTCTTTTTAAAAAAATTGGTTCTTTTTAGTTTTACATGACAGTAGAATACATTTTGACATAATTACACAAGCCTAGAATATATTTTGTTCTAATAGTAAAGACTTTGTAATTTGTTTTCCACAATGTTTCTGAGAAAAACTACACGTGATTTCAGTGATATGATGAGCTCAGAACCTTATTAACCTCAGCCTGGTTCCAGGTATCATGATTTAAAAAAAAAAAAAGTCTGTATAAGAAAAGCAGCCTACTGCTCCTGTATTTTACTGATGTTCAGCAATGATTATTTTTCTTTCTCAACCCACAATTTTTATTGCTGGTTTCCACAGCAACAGCAAAAGAATGTCTAGGTTAAGACCTGTTCAGTAACTAATTTCATTAGGACTCCCTCCCAAGATAAAATGAACTAACAGAGCCTTAATGATTCATGAAGAAAATTAGTAATGACTACAGATCCCAACAGCAACACATCAGTCTGACTTGGGGATATGGTTTAAATAAAATATCTGCTTAATCAATCAACACCACCTTTTATGATTAGAACTACTTACAAATGACTATGACTTTAGGAACGCATAAGGCGATTTTGCAAGGCATCTAAGTGTTCCAAAATCTGCCCAGGTAACCCCTGAAACTCTCCCCTAAGAGCTTAAAAATATGAAGATTAAAAACAGCAATGGGGGGCTGAGGATGTGGCTCAAGTGGTAGCGCGCTCGCCTGGCATGCATGAATCACTGGATTCAATTCTCAGCACCACATAAAAATAAAAAATAAAGATGTTGTGTCCACCTAAAACTAAAAAATAAATATTTAAAAAAAAAAACACAGCAATGGGCTGGGGTTGGGGTTGTGGCTCAGCAGTAGAGCGCTCGCCTTGCACATACATGCAAGATCCTGGGTTTGATCTTCAGCACCACATGAAAATAAATAAGTGAAATAAAGGTATTGTGTCCAACTATAACTAAAGAAAAAAAAACAGCAAGAAAAGGGACAGGACATTATCTTTGCAGTCTTTCCCCCAACATTTCAGGAATCCAAGTACAAAACAAGGAAGGAAGGAAAAGGAAGAGAGGGAAAGAAGAAAGGAGAGGAGGGAGGCAGGCAGGTCATGTCAAAATTTGAAGATCTTAACTCCTCTCTTAATCTCTGGCATCAGATCTCATGATCTCCTGGATGGTGCATCCAAAAATGCTCAATCATTTTTCAAAGTCTGACAAGTTGCTTGCTCTGAGGTAAAGCTCTGCAGGTTACTTCATTGGTCATATCTCTCCTTTCTTTACCATCCCCTTGAATTCAGCTCTTATTCCCAAATGAATGTCCTCAATGAACTCTTGTTCATCTGGACCCCTCCTATTTCCCAAACTATTTTCTGAGTATCCTTCATTCCATTCTGCCAGCATTTTTTTTTCTTGAATTCAGCCTTGTGTTCATACATCAGCTAGATTCTTTCCTTCCAATCCCATTTTGTTTCATAATTGATAATGTGAGATAATGAATCATCAATGTCCTGCTCACTGTAGCCAGGAAGAAATGCTCACAAGAAGAGAAAATGCCCAGGATGTGATGCCTGGGAGTGGCCTCATGACACCTGCTATGGAGAGGTGATAGACTATGCAGGTTGGTGCAGACAAGAGGATGGGAATTGGTGTGTGAGGAAGAGACCTGCTCCCTGTGCTCCATCAGACTGAATGGAAGTCTTGCTTCCTGCTTCCCAGGCTCCATGTCTAAGGATCTTATTAAACATCACCTGTTGTCCACCCCAGCCCCGACTAGTATCCTTGTGATGTCACTGAGATATTCTGGAGACTTCTCTCTTTCCTCTGATGTACCCACCCCCAGTCCTGGGGTTTTCTGGAACACAGAGCTATGACCTCTGAGCTGTCTGCCTGCACAGCATGGACCATGTTAACCCAGCTCTCTGTCCACCTGCAGCAATGCCTTCGGCCCCAAAGGAACAGCTATACCTCTTAGCCCTCCCCTAATTGACTCCAGGTTTCCATCCAATCCACTTTCCATTGTTCCTACTACTCTCTTCTCAGATCCCACCCTTAGGCCTGGCTCTGTGGCACAGGGAACCAGTTGATCACATAAATGCTGCAGTGACAAGATTCAAACCTAGTTTACACCGGCTCCAAAACCTGTGTGCTTAAACACCAGGATGGGTATGGCCTCTCTAGATAATCCCTGTTCACATGGCAAGGCATGAGGGCTTGTAGATCAAAGGCACCTGGAACAGATGCAGCTTCAGCTTGATTGTGTGAGCTTGGGCATGCTTTTTGAGCGCTGTGAGTCTCAATATCTTCACCCAGAAAGAAGGAGTTGAATAGTGACTTCACAAAACCGTGAAGCCTAAAGGAGAAGGTAGGAATCAAATGCCAGGCACATAGAAGACTCTTAACATATATGAGCTGCTTTCTAGACAAAATTGTTGATTGTTTTAAATGGAGGGCTTCTCTGCTTTATTAACTCAACAACACACTGTGACAGATCAATTAAATATTGGGGGAAGGAGGCAGACAGACATTCAATGTGAGGAAAATGCTCTTCTTACAGAGCAATCTATTTTCATTTGGAAACGTGAACAGGAGAAAGCAGAGAGGGCAATAAGCACTGAGGGAAGACGCCTTACAGTCATTAGAACTTCTGCTAACAAATCTCAGCTGCTGCAAGATAAACACAGGTGGGAATGCTGGCTAAGTAATATTTTCTAATGGGTGCAAATTAATAACATGAAATGAATAGATGGTCCCTAGGCAAGTACAAAACAGTGGGGGCAAAAAGTGTTTCTTAAAAGCCTCATAGACATCACAAAAAATCAAATCATCCAAGGGAATACTGTTAAATCTAGAAACCCATTCCCCAAAGAGAGTACGAAATGGAGAGAAAGGGGCAGAGAGAGGGTATTCCCAGGGATATTTTCTTTGAATTTGTCAAACATTTTATTTTCTTATCAAACTTCTTTCCTATCC